AGAGAAAGGAAAATCCCGGTGACAAGGACTAATGATTTTTTATGGAAGATGATGATTCTAACAGGGTCAATCGCGTCATTATAAATCCTCAAAGTGACCTTACAGGGTGCATTTAAAGTAGTACATATTATAAGGGTAAGGTATGCCCCAATTTGCGACTTACTTCAGACACCCAATATATGAATAAGGACTTTTTAGTGTTCCATCAGAATGTGAGAGGATTGAGGGATAAAAACAATGAGTTGTTTGGATCATTGCTCCCTGAACTCCCTCATATTTTATGTCTAACAGAACACTTCTTATCAAATCAAGAGATTATATGTTTAACTATAGATCATTATGTGCTTGGTGCAGAGTTTTGTAGAAAAACACTTAAAAAGGGAGGCACATGCATATATGTAGACGAAACATTAAATTTTTCTAATATTAATTTGAAGAAGTTCTGTATTGAACAAGACATTGAAGCATGTGCTGTTAAAATAAATCTATTAGATACCATCTTATACATACTATCTGTTTATAGATCTCCAAATGGAAACTTTAGGCAGTTTCTAAAAGGTATAGATAACATTCTAAATTATTTAAATAAACCAAATATAGAAATTATTATGTGTGGTGATATAAATGTTAATTATCTGTCTGAAAATTGTAGTAAGAGACAGCAATTGGATAATTTACTTGCAACTTATAATTTAACTAACACGATAAATTTCCCTACAAGAAGTACAAAGGACTGCGCATCAGCAATTAATATCTATATTGATATAACCCATTTTGAGGGTTATACTGTCATTCCAGTTGTAATCGGCTTATCAGATCATGATGCCCAGGTCATTAAGTTAGAAAATATACTAATGAGTAAAAAAATGAATGAAGTTAAAACTATGAGAAATATTGATAAATACTCTATAAACGATTTTAAATTTAAATTGAGTTATGAGACCTGGGATGATATATTTAATGAAAATGATGTAAACAAAATGTTTAATAATTTCCATAATACGTATTTAAGGATTTTTTATTCATGCTTCTTAANGTTTAATGAAAATGATGTAAATAAAATGTCCATGATTTATTTCAACCGTCTTCCAGTGCATACACTCATCTATCTCCTCCTCTCTCTTGCACTACATGTTTTCGGCACAAAGGTGCCATCTTCACGTGCTTATTCGATTTATGCTAAACTAGTTCATTGCATGCCTTGTCGTCTTCGTATTAAAATAACTAAAATATGTATTTATCATATATATTGATAAATGTTAAATGTTAAAAATATTAAAATTGTTCAAGATTTTTCATGTTTAATAATTTAAAAAATACATATTTAAGGATTTTTTATTCATGCTTCTTAAAGAAGAAAATTATTGTAAACAAGAAAGAGAATAGTTGGATGACTAGAGAAATAAAAATTTCACTTAATCATGAGCGTGATCTATATTTGAATATTAAATATAATAATGATCAGGCATTAAAAGATTCCTATTAACGTTATTGTAAAATTCTATCAAGAGTTATTAAGGAGGCTAAGAAATATCAATACAATAAAAAGATATTAACCTCCAGCAATAGGATCAAAACTATCTGGAATATTGTCAAAACAGAAACAGGTTGAAAAACAGAAAAAGAAGGAATATCATTAATAAATCATAACAGTCTGCAAATAGATGATCAGCACATAATATCAAGTATTTTTAATAAATATTTTTCGTCAATAGCTGACGAAATAAGAGGTCTAAATATAAATGAGAAAACTGCCATAAATAGTCTTCAAAATACAGAACGAGCCTATCCTAGGATTAAATTTGTAAATACATTAACCCAGGAGATTCGTAAGATTATAAAATCATTGAAAACAAAAAATTCCCATGAGTATGATTAAATTTCAGTTAAAATTTTGAAATGGAGTTCCCTGTATATAGTGTCCCCACTAACTTATGCCTTGAAAAAGGTATTTTCCCATCCAGATTATAATACTCAAATGTGAAACCTATTTATAAATGAGGAGATAAACTAAATATAGCAAACTTCAGACCAATATCTTTGTTAATATCCTTTTCTAAAGTTGTTGAGAAAGTTATCTACTTAAGAAATCACCAACATGTGGTTCAAAATTAAATATTAGCAAAGGAGCAGTAGGGTTTCAGAAGTGAATCTTCTACTGATAAAGCAGCTTATACATTAACACATGATATATTTACCGCTTTTATAATAAACAGATTGTGGGAGGTATCTTCTGCAATTTAAAGAAGGCCGATGACGTAGTAAATCATAAAATCCTGTTGAATAAACTTGAATACTACAGCATTGTAGGGAAATTCAATGCCTTGATCAAATCTTACCTTACAGAGAGATACCAGAGGATGATAATTCAAAATAATTCTAGAAATAGTTACTCTGAATGGGAGACAGTCAAGCACGGGGTGCCACAGGGATCTATCTTGGGCCCTCTATTTTTTCTTTTATTTATTAACGATCTGCCTTTGACAGTTTCTAAAAATAATACATTAGTGCTGTATGCTGATGACACTAGTATGATTGTAACTGGTTCTAATCCTGTACAATTTTTGATGGAGATAAATACCGCTCTTGATGACTTAAATAAGTGGTTTAGGAGTAATTTGATGTATTTAAATTTTGACAAAACACATCTTACAATTTCGGACTAAAAATAGTCAGAAGCTTGATTTAAACATTACTTTTGCAGATAAGCACATCACTGATCTTACTAATATCAAGTTTCTAGGATTGATTATTGATGAAAAGTTGTCATGGAAGGGGCACATTGAACATGTTCTAAAAAAGTTAAGTTCCGCTTGTTATACTATCAGGATTGTCACGCCCATTATGACGGAGAATATTCTAAGAATGATATATTTTGCATATGTTCATTCATTATTATCTTATGGTATTTATTATGGGGTAATTCACCACATAGGCCTAGTGTTTTTAAGATGCAAAAACGAATACTCCGTATTATGACTAAGACTAGATGTAGAGACGCTTGAAGACAACTTTTTAAAAATTGGGAAATTTTACCATTTTATTCTCAATATATATTTTCTTTGATGATATTTGTTGTGAGAAGTAAGCATCTTTATAAAACTAATCAAGAAATTTATGGTCTAAACACTAGGCACAATACTGACCTTCATTTTCCATCTGCTAGATTAACACGCGGTAACAGTGTACGGTATAAAAATCCGGCTGAGTAGCATGTGAGCAGAGTGTGTGATCAGGAGTGACACAGTGGATTGTGAAGTCACAATCAGTCACAAGAGCAGTGGAAGTAAATTGTGATACTGCCGATGGCAGTAATTGTGTAACTGTTAATTGTATAAGTGTGCAAGCAAATGTGGAATAAATTCGCTATATTCAATATGGCGTGAAGTTATTTGCCACGTTAAATACCAAACACGTGACAATATATAAAGAAATATATGACAGTCCAACACTGACTTCCTAACTGATAATTCGCTGCTGAAAACCAATCTTTGAATACGTCTCATTTTCTTCAAAGCTCTGGAAGCACTAACATGCCAGCACAGATGAATATTTACTCCTCAGTTCTCAAAACAAAACTGTCCTCTATTTGGCTGACCACACCATAAACAGTCATATTTAAACATAAATAGTATAAAAACCAGTACCATGATAAACAATTTCATTGCTCAGAGCTAAGAATGAACCACTGACATGAACATGCATGGGTTTGTTTTGGTTTCAAACCCAAGTTAAAGCTGTCAGCACTCCCAAAGAGGGCAGGAGTCCTGCCATGTATATACATAAATATATAACATTTGGCCAACACAGGATGCTACTTGCTGTATACATATATATATAACATTCATCTGTTAAAGGTTAAGGGTTAATCAGAACACCTTCTGCTGGTGCAAGGAATGTCTAAGTATTGTTTATTGTTATTAAATAACTCCACAAATCCTGTACAGGGGCTTTAGCACCCATGGGATATAGAGCTAGTCAAACTTATACAATCTCATACAAAACATAAAAAGATACATCGTGTAACATGAAATCAAGCCATATCACAACAACATAGATTCATACACTGTTAGAAATACAACCTTTTACTTCTTACTACTCCAAGTTCATTCGTCACAATCATTAAACATTAATCATAAAACAACATCACATAATACTAAGTAATAAACATAATTAAAAAATATAACATACAGTTAATCCCATTTACATCAAATCAGTATTTACAAATTATTATTTTTAAAATACTCCTCTAATGAATAAAATGACCATGAGCAAAGATATCTCTTTAATGCTGGTTTAAACAATTCAATTTTATATGATAATGATTATATATTTATAGGAAGATGGTTAAATATCCTCATTCCAATAGCATATGTCCCTTCATTATATATTGTTAACTGCGGTGTCCCCTGTTAGGTCACAGTTGGAAGTGCTGTTATGTCACCGTGGGGGGGAGGGTGGAATGTTTACTGGCCTGTTATGGTAGCAGCCGCTGTTGCTCTGATGCTGTTATTTCACAGCTGGGGGGTGGGGGGGTGTCCTGCATAGTGAAAATACATCACAATATTTTATTTTTTGTGTTGGAAGGGCTATAAACCCATTGAGCCGGTATTACTTTGTGAGTAAAAGGCATCTTCATCACTGTGACTTCTGGTATCAGTGTCAGTCTGGCACTCTTTTTGACTAATATTTCAATTACTTTGCATCACTATTGTGCGAGTATTACTAACAGGTGATAGTGTTGCTTTGTTAGTCAACATAATTTATTCGATTTTGCTGGAAACCCTCCTCCCCCCAGATGATTGTTTAATCGCACAAACGAATATCATGGTCAGTGGCGTTTTTCAGGGGAGGCCAAGTTCATCTGGGATCCAACTAGTCGACTGGAAGTGAAACATTCACAGCACTGGCCAACCAAAGGGAAACAAAGATCTCACTAAATGAGAAATTCAATAGCCCCATTTCCTATTGTTCAAAGTGTGATGTTGCGCTGTGTGTTGTGGACTGCTTCGAGAAGTGGCACGAGCACACGTCAAGAGTGTGAGGTATCATAAACTGTGAAGTGACTGCATACTTCTGTATACATTTTATGTACATGTGTAGCTGTTGCAAGTCATTCACACTCCTGCTTCTACAGTGTGGTGTGCCCAATACCATTTCACACATCCAGAAGTAGTGGCCATTTTCTGGCAAAAGCCAAATGTTTACATTGTCAAGGAATCTTGTGTGGCAACCTAGGAGGTCACTCATGGTGGATATGTCTATTGAACTGACACTGTGCTGTTATTCTTCTTGAGGCCTTTTATTGTCTCATGTAGGGGGGTTTTACCGGGCCATATGCAGCCTTTCTTAGTATCATTTTTTAGCTCAGGCTTTATTGTTATTTCATTCTAGGAGCCTCGGTTCCTCCCTCCCCCCTCCGTCACCACTCTCACGCCTAACAAATTTAACATCTCACTGTATTGAGGCTTCAAGCTTATTTTTCTTGCTATTAGGATTTATCATGTTATTTACTCTCATTTTCCAGGGTAATTTGGATGAACTTCAACCCATACATGGTGAGGAGCACCAATATTCTTGTGATGAGTGTCGTGATTCATTCAGTCAAGAGAAAATTCTGATAGCACATCAGCACATACATAGTGGGGAGCAGCCATTTTCTTGCATCATGTGTAATAAGTCATTCAGTCAGCAGAGTAGTCTGAAGGCACACCAGTGCATACATAGTGGGGAGAAGCCATTTTGCTGTGATGTGTGTAAAAAGTTATTCATTTCAAAGTATGAACTGAAGGCGCATATGCACATACATAGTGGGGAGAAGCCATTTTTCTGTGATGTATGTAATAAGTCATTCAGTCAGCGGAGTACTCTGAAGTCACATCAGCACATACATAGTGGTGAAAAGCCATTTTGCTGTGAAGTATGTAACAAGTCATTCAGTGGTCTGAGTAGTCTGAAGACACACCAACGCATACATAGTGGGGAGAAACCATTTTGCTGTGAAGTGTGTAATAAGTCATTTAGAAACCAGAGTCTTCTGAAGACACATCAGCACATACATAGTGGTGAAAAGCCATTTTTCTGTGATGTATGTAATAAGTTATTCAGTCGGCGGAGTATTCTGAAGACACATCAGTGCATACATAGTGTTGAAAAGACATTTTTTTGTGATGTATGTAATAAGTCATTCAGTCAGCAGAGTACTCTGAAGTCACATCAGCACATACATAGTGGTGAAAAGCCATTTTTCTGTGATGTATGTAACACGTCATTCAGTGGTCTGAGTAGTCTGAAGACACACGAACTCATACATAGTGGGGAGAAGCCATTTTGCTGTGATGTATGTAACAAGTCATTCTGTGGTCTGAGTAGTCTGAAGACACACGAACTCATACATAGTGGGGAGAAGCCATTTTGCTGTGATGTATGTAACACGTCATTCAGTGGTCTGAGTAGTCTGAAGACACACCAACTCATACATAGTGGGGAGAAGCCATTTTGCTGTGATGTATGTAACACGTCATTCAGTGGTCTGAGTAGTCTGAAGACACACCAACTCATACATAGTGGGGAGAAGCCATTTTGCTGTGATGTATGTAATAAGTCATTTATAAACCAGAGTGATCTGAAAAGACATCAGCGCATACATAGTGGGGAAAAGCCATTTTGCTGTAATGTATGTAATAAGTCATTTAGAGACCAGAGTCATCTGAAGACACATCAGCGCATACATAGTGGTGAAAAGCCATTTTTCTGTGATGTATGTAATAAGTCATTCAGTGATCAGAGTACTCTGAAGTCACATCAGCGCATACATAGTGGTGAAAAGCCATTTTGCTGTGATGTAT